GCAATCTTTGTCTTTTGTGATGTAACAAATTTCGATCATCTACGTCAATTGTTCGATGCTACACAAAATACATTTGGTGGTGTTGATGTAAATACTTTTATTAATCAATTATTTTAATTTATTTAATGGACAATTAATTAATAATTTGTTTTTCCTAAAAGATTGTATGCAATAACGCTGGAATTGCGAAAAATGAATTTTTTGATCAAACTGGTTAAGTAGATTATATATTTGGTTTAGTGACCATTCTTGTACGAACCTTAACTCATATATTTAAGATATTAGATAGCTGGGTAAAGACTATCGATATTAATTTAAACGCTGTAATCAAAGGTACACAATTGGGAATTCAATTTTTGAAAAAACGTGGTGGTGGTGTTATTATAAATACAGGTTTGTAAACAACAATATTTGATATCAAAAAAAAAACGAAACTTACAAAGTAATTTATTTTATTTGTAGCTTCGATTGCTGGATTTTACCCATCGAAATTATTCCCAATATATGGTACCTCAAAATATGGCGTATGTTTAGAATCCTTTTAAACATACAAATTTGCAATCAAATTATGATGGTACTGTATTAATGATCTTTTATTTAATAATGTTTTCTAGGTTGTTGGTTTTACACATTCACTACGCGAACTAAATAATACAGATAAAATTCGCGTAAATGCTATTGCTCCTGGATATGTGGGTAAGTTAAAAAAAATATTATCACTATTTAATGAATCTATATTTTTTATCTGTTAATTATCAACTTATTATAAATTTTAATAAAATTTAATAATTAGATACATCTTTGATGCAAAATGTGATCAAAATAATGCCTGCAACTGTAAAATCAGTTGAGAAACTTGAAGGATTTATTCCTATTGATGAAGTGGTCAACGCTTTTATAACGATCATTCAAGATGATAAATTTGCGGGTAATACTATCATGATTCCGAAAAAGAATTTTTCACAAGTTATTTCAAAATCATTGTTATAGGTTTTGAGATCGAGTGGTTGGCTTGTAATAATTATTTTACATTTTGACTTCATTAATTTTAAAATCTAATTATATGATAAATTTCAGATGTTTCAATTAAAAATTTTCTATACCTTAAATAAATCGATTTATTTACTTTTAAATAAGTTTAGAATTGAAATTTTTTTTAAAAAAAAGAAAGTAAATTTGCTTATGATCATTTATTGCATTTATCTAATAAATTTTCCCTTTATAAAGTTTTATTAATTGATACCGGATAACTGAAGGTGTTAGTTAATAAGAATAAACGTATATTAATAAATTATAGTCATTAGTTTAGTTTTTAATAAAGTGACACGATAAAGTTCGATTTGAAACCGTCCAATTGTGTGTTAACAGCAACTTAAGTTGTAAAATTATATTATATGACTCGACTATGTACACAAAAATACAAGACAGGCGAATGTAACTGTTGTGTAAACGCAAATAATCCTCATCTGCGTTTATTTGAGTATATACAAGCTATTTTAAAATAAAAATAATCAATTTTCTCTGAACCTATTATAAGAACTAACCGGTCTCGTCTCCTCTATCCATGCTCGCATTGCACTGATTAAAAGAAAATCTGTCTATCTAAACCAAAATATATAAACAAAAAAAAACCTTTAAAACACCGAATACGATTCTCATCTATGGTATGCATTATTAACGAAATCCTTGTGGTTTTCACCGGTATTTTACAATGAACCAATATCACCAATAACTAACGCTAATAATTTAAAGGTTGTAGGCTTTGTTAAATGATGTCATACAACTTATAGTAAGAAAATTCCATGTTAAATTATATAACACCTGTGTTAGCGTTACCGAACTATAGTAATTTCTATTTGTGTTAGAGATTTGAATATTAACACCAGTGTTGGAAATCTCATGTTCTCATACCTTTAGATTTGAGAACATTTGATATTGTGTAAACGTTTTCTATGAAAAAAAAATTTGAGAACATAAAATAACTATTATATAAATGGGAATAAAATTAGGAATCGACGAAGTTCCGAAATCTTCCGAAAAGAAAATGAATGAACATAAAAGACGAGAAGGGTTGGAACAAAAATTTGAGTAAATTTATAAATTTGTTCTCATGAGAACATAAATCTCAAAACAGATTTCCAACACTGCATAACACTACAGCGCTATCATGTAAAAATTGCTCGCGGCATTAAATTCAGTAAGTTGCAGTGCTTCAGTAAATTCTTGCAACCCTTAATCATCATGAAACTTTAAATATCGGCCAGAATTCAATATGTTTGATAGATTAATCACAGTAATTTTCCTGCAAGACTACGTGTATAACTAGACGCGAACTTGTCATATATATGTATATTTTTTAGACCAGATCTTTTTTTTTACAGTTATCCAAATGAATATTTTCGAAAATTTATTATCATATTGAGTCGTCAGGCTTGTTAAAAACGAATTCATTAAACTTTTTTAATGCTAAATCTTCATTATCTATCTGACATAAAGATGAAAATAATTTTAAAACAGAAAATAAAATTAACAAAACTATTAAAGAATAATTTCTATTTACTTTTAATACTTATTTGAATTTAAATAATTAATTGAAATTATAGAAAATTAAAAAGTGATAAAGCGTTTTCAAATATTGCAGATTGCTTGAGTTGCTTTAAATACTGTGAAATTAAATGATTTTTCACCAAGTATAAAAGAAGTAGCTTATGGTACGTTCTCTTAATAATCACGAAAATATATTAAAATAGGGTTTTATTCTTAAGGGCTTTAAATTTACATTATTGCAATTAGCTAATTGACAAAGTCTTTTAGAATAAATATTATAATTTTTAAATAAATAAAATACGTAATACTAAATATTCAATATAATATGGTACATATGTTCGACGTCATTTCACAATTTAGGTCGATTTTGAATTGACCTAGGTCATTCTTAAATTTTCACCGATTTAGGAATAAATCGGGTCAATTCATAATGCAACACTACGAAGCTTTAGGATGCCGCTGGAGTGTGACCAATCTTTGGCGTGACAAATAAGCACCTGCTGAATATACTTATATAAATATATTAGTTTGTGCTTATTTGTCACGCAAAGATTGGTCACAACCGCCACCACTTTATCCACGCACAAGAATAATCTTCAGGAAGTTCGAAAGGTGTTAAATAACTAATGAAAAAGTGTCAACCTATATTGGGTTTGTTAAACTACACTTTTTATTAATAAAATTAGTATTAAATAACACTTTATACATTAAACAACTTTAGTTATTTAACTGCATATCATGTTTGTTGACATGATATACAGTTGAATAACTGAAGTTGTTTAACGCATAAAGTGTTATTTAATACTAATTTTATTAATAAAAAGTGTAGTTTAACAAACCCAATATATGCTAACACTTTTTTGTTAGTTATTTAACGCCTTTCGAAACTCCTGATGTTTATGTTAAGAGATACTTTACTAAAATTTGCAAAATTAAGTAGTAGGCGTATTGCTAATATAGTAACTTGAAAACTAAAAAAATTAACAGTAGTAGGCATATTGCTAACATATAGTTAATATAAAGAAAATTGCTACTACCAAGTAACTATATAGTTGCTTTATAATTAATTGCAAATTACTATTTTACAAGTTTCAGTAAAGTACATATTTCACAATTCATATATTCATTCATTTATTCAAAGACTGTGTGTGAAGCTCAAAAATTAAATTCATAATAAATATCACACAACTCATTTATTACGTCAATTTGTAGAGTAATTAAAATTACAACTCAAGTTTTTACATGCACAGACTTAACATTAACAATATTTGATGCATTTCTTTGTATCAATTTAATATGTGCAAAGATAGTTTATTTACTGCTGTTTTACTATTACTTGGCATTCCAATTATATTGATTTGATAAATCTATACAATATTCATGTAGGCTCACCATTAAATAATACACTATTTATATTAATTTAATGAATAAAATTTATTTGTATATATTTAGATTCATTCTAAGAATTTATGTTCTAAATGTCTTATTTATAAAGATGCTACAATTTTACCAGGTTAAAAGGTGAAATTATTTCACCAGAATTGTGCCAAAATAAAATTTGTGAAAATAGTAAAATTGGTAAATTGATAAAATGGTGAATTAGTGAAATTGTAAAATAATAAATAGTGAAAAATTTGTGATTAGTTTATTTAATGAATGCTTTCAGCATACCTCTGATAGTTGGGCTGGAGTGGAGGACAGTAGAGTGAAAGACCTTTCTATGCTGTTATAAATTCAGGCAATGTCCAGCTCCAGCCCCTGCAATTACAATGATAAGTCTTTGATTTTGGTTCATTGTTATCCTCTGCAGAAATTTTGATTATACAGGAATCTGTTTATTAAAAAAAAAAAGCTAAGAAAAAATAATATCAATAAATAAAAACTATAATCAAAACTAATTTACAAAAGTAAAAATTAATTAATAATTTATTGCACTAAAATCCTCCTAAAAGAATATATGTGCTTGAATAAAAGGTTGCAAGAATTGATATTAGAACAGCAAGGTCGGATCAAAAGGCAATTATTAACGATTCAAAAATGAAAACCAAATAAATAATAAATATATACTAAACGCAATATTTTTGTATATGAATTTAGAAGATGCAACTGCATTGCTTATATTCATAGTACATCAGGAAATTTTTTAAACTAATAACTATTGATTGCTTTTTAAGGCTACTAATCTATTAGTAACACCCCGTTGATAGTAATTGATATAAATAAAAATTGATAGTTATTATACTTATCGATAGAAATCAATATAATAAAAATCGATAGTTATCATATCCATTGATAAAAATCGATATATAAAAATCGATAGTTATCAAGCCTATTGATAGAAATCGATAATAGCTATCAATAGTTATCAATAGTTATCAATAGTTATCAATAGTTATTGATAGTTATCGATAGTTATCGATAAATAATTTATCGATAGTAATCAATTATTAGAAACTATTGATTATTAATATTATCAATTAAAATCAATAGGGATATTTGCTGATAGCAAACACCACTGTTGATTGTTATTGATTAAATTTAACCGATAATAATCAATTAGTTGTTAGCAATCGTCACTTATTAGCTTAAAAAATTTCCTGATGTATACAAATGATCAATTTAACCAATTAAGTGTATATGCTACGTGTCATTTTTCAATTTAGTCGATTATCATTTGACATATAATTTACATAATAAGGTGCAAATGATGTATCCTGGGATTTACATTCAACTTTGCCAGTTTTCAATATGTTTTACACCAACTAGTTAGGTATTCTCCAAAAAAAAATATACTATTTTTCAAATTATATATAATATGATTATCTCTTTATAATTAGTGTTAAACAATTATTCTAACAGTTAACGTTAAATAATCATTCTAACAACACTTGATGGTTATGTTAGATAATCATTCTACATCAGGAAATTTTTTAAACTGATAACTATTGATTGCTATTTAAGTCTATTAATCAATTAGTAACACCCCCATCGATAGGAATTGATATAAATAAAAATCGATACTTATTATACTTGTCAATAGAAATCAATATAATAAAAATCGATATTTATCATGTCCATTGATAGAAATCGATATATAAAAATCGATAGTTATCAAGCCTATTGATAGAAATTGATATAGTAAAAATTGATAGTTATAGTTATCGATAGAAATCGAAATTGTAAAATTGATAGTTATCGATAGTTATCGATAGTAATCGATTATTAGAAACTATTAATCATTAACATTATCAATTAAAATCAATCCGATAGCAAACACCACCATCGATTATTATTGATTAAATTTAACTGATATTAATCGGTTAGTTGTTAGCAATCATTACTTATCAGCTTAAAAAATTTCCTGATGCTATTGTATTTTGGGATAGAGTAGTTAATTCATTTGGATAAATCTCTTATCACTTGACTGTTTAAAATTGTATAAG